GTTGTGATGAGTCAAAGTTGAGAAAAAGATGTTGACTTTTTGTACTTAGAAAATTTCTAAGTTTTTCTTCAAAAGTGACCTATAACGTTTTGAGTTCAACCAACGCTTTCCTCTAAAATTGAGCTTTGATCAATAATTCTATCTTGAAGTAGACTTCCCAAAGAGCATTGTGAAACTTGAATCACTCAAAAATACCAAGTATTGAAAAAGTTATGACCTTGTGAAGTTGGTGAAAATTCATGAGATGACCTATAATCTTTTGCATTCTTAGGGCATCTTCCATCCATTTTCAAGCTTTGCACATAAAAGAAGAGTTGAAGTTCACATCCTTAAGATCATTGTGGAAAAAGAATGGGCTCAAGGAGATAAAATATGTCCAAGTTATGATCTTTTGAAGTCACATAAGGGAATTTGATGGCCTATCTAGAGGACTTGTAATATTTCTTCATCATTAGGCATCTTCCATACCAATTTTTCTTGAAACTCTTGAAGTGATTAGTTGATAACCCTTTAAAGAGAAGCATGTATTTAGAATCACTCAAAAATCTCAAAATATGAACAAGATATAGTCCTTAGAAGTCCAAAATCATAACTTTTAAAGCACCAATATGACTTAGAAACCCTTTTCAATTTTGACAAACTTTCTTGCACAAAAACTTTTTCCATGTGAATAGAGGTTTTTGTGGATGATAATAAGAACCCATAGCAACAATAACCACCTACAATTATTAAGGATTGAGAGATTTATGTACTTGTGATCAAAGAATCAAGAATTTTTCCAATTAGGTCAAACTTCTTTAATCAACTCTTGCATCTTTTGACTTCCTTTGACAAATTAAGGCATGATGAATCATAGTAGCCCTTGTCTTGATGTACTTGAAAGCATCTTCAATAATGAAGCTTGAATCTCAGTGAAGTTTTATTGGAGAAGGCATGGAAATAAAATCATGAACCTATGAATCAACTTGATGAAATGTGTTGTGCTCTCACCTATAATATCATCAATTAGAGCACGCATTCATTATATTTGTTAGTTAAAAGTTAATCAACACAGAACATAAATGATCATAAAATATAAATCAAGATTTGGTGATTTCCCATAGGCAAACCTAGATATAGGGAGAAGCACCAAACCCTAGTGTGATCTTGTTGTGATTGAGTTGATATGAGATAATAGAGGAATCTTAGGGGGAAAATTTGGGGTACAACACTTAGAGTAAGGTAAAGACTTAATAATAACACCTCTTACTCTGTGGTGTTTTTTGTACACTTTATTTTGTGTTGGTCTGAGAACTTTTCTACCAGTAACCATTCCCACACCATTCACTTCGATTTTAATGCCATCCTCAAGGATGTCTCATAACTCATCATCAAGGCCAATGATGTAAGTGTATATTTTTATCTTCCACCATTCAAAGTGAGTAGAATCGCCACTGAATGCATGTGGTTTGGAAGAATAATGGCTCTTCTCAATAGCACTATAATCATGTGATATACTAGTTCCAATAACATTACTATCACTAGTATCATCCATCTTAGTATACTTTTCTCTTCAGGATCTTTTTATGTACCACTGTTAAGTGTAAGCACAGACTGTACTCTGATGCCGACTGAAGGTGAGAAAATACATAAGAAGAGGGGGAGGGGGTGAATTGTGTTTATAATAACTTATGCTTTTTCAAAATAGTGGCTTTCGAATCTGACCAAGTTCAGATTCTAAGCTAGAGTATGCAGCAACATAATATTTAAAGTGCATATGCTATAAGTAAATCACACACAAATTTATCCTAGTTCCTCTATAATTAGAGTAGTCCAGTCCCCTCACATACAAAAGCTTTTTAATATAATCATAACCTGATTACAATTTACTTAGACACACCAGTCCAAGACTTCTTGCTCAATCTCACTAGAAAGAGACTTATTGTCTAAACCAGCTGTCCAAGACTTGTTTGCTCAATCAACCTGAAAGAGACTTCCTTACCTAAACCAATTGTTCAAGACTTCCTTGCTCAATCAAACTATAAAGAGACTTCCTTGCCTAAACTAATTGTTTAGGACTTCCTTGCTCAAACACTCAGCTTGAGACTTCTTTGCTCAAACACTCAGTTTGAGACTTTTACAAATTTTAAAAAAACTGTTTAAGATTACAACAAGATGTATCTGATATTCAATCAGAGGTACAAATAATACAACACACACAGATCTTGATACTTGATATTTCTAAGATATACAAGTGTAAAAACCTCTCAAGTCTATGTGCAATACAACAACTATAAACTGTAACTTGGAGTGAGAGACATTTCTTGCAATATTATGATTTTTGTTGTTGTTCTTGTTGTATTATTTTTGTTACTTTGTCTGAATCTTTAGCTTCTTATATAGAGGAAATAAAAGAGACGTTGGAAGTTTATTTGCACAAGTGTCTTTGCTGAAGAAGCGGTTTTCAAGAGAGAGATGTTGGAGTTGGTACGGTGAGGATCTTTATCTTCTAAACAATTGCTTTATCCATTGTGTCTTTCTCAAGTAAGGTGTCCATAGACATGGAAAAGTAGACCAAATAAATCATATCATTTAGCCTTTACCCAGGTGCTAAAACCTCTAGTTGACTTGCTCCATAATTCTAGCCGTTGACAAGATGGAGTTGCTTTTACATGGAGTACGAACAGAAGAACTTGTACTATGTTTCCAGTAGAGCGCTTGAAGTTACGTTTGAATCATCAGAGGCAAATTCAATGTAACACTGAAGTTCTATTTTAACATCAGAGAGTGAAATAATATGGCACTAAAGTCTTATATGAAATTTAGATTCTAGTCCATTAGAATCTAGATTTACTTGCTTCTTCTTTACAAGCCATTAACCTGTTAAAACCTAGTTAATTATAAGCTTAATGATCATGCACACTAAATCAAACATTAGTATACCCTATTGTTCTTTAAATACTTTTGTTATCATTAAAATCCAAGGAGTACGAACTCAAAGAGTCTGAACAGATTTTGTTCCAATAATTTAAGCCAAAGGGACGACGATATTTACGACTAGAGTAGTGTCAAAATAAGAAGGGACAGAAAGTAAAATACATATTAGGACATGTGTCGCTAAAGTAGAAGATTTATGACTTATAGATCAGACATATATTTGCCTTAGAAAAAGAACCTAAGTCATGTAGAAAATCGAAGCAGAATTATCATATGGCAAAATGAATTACATATTAACATTTGTCGACCTAGAAGATATTGGAGTTAAGGGATGAGGACATTAAAAACCCTAATAATACCCTTTATAGGCCACAACAGTAAAATACACTCTTGAAAAATTTAAAAACATCAATCATTATTTTATTCATTTATTGATTTAAGTGTCAAAGTATTTTACAAGTACGAGCTCCATCACATCTCCAACTCACTTTTGAAATACTTCAATTTGAATAAGATCAATTTAGTATCATTGTTTTTATATTTTTTATTCAACTTAAAATTAGGTTATATTTGATTTGTTACCATTGATTTAAGAGTTAGATAAGATTTGATTTGAACTTTGACTTAAAATAAAATAAAATTTTCTTTTTGAATTTAGTCAATTTTTAATTAAATAAGTAACAATAATATTATAAATAAAGAAATTTGAATGAAATGGTAAGTGATATAATTTAATTAACATATGACAATTGAGTTAAATGACTGTAAATAAACTGTTTATTTATCGATCAATCACTTACGATAATATTTACTCATATTTATATGTTTATATAAATAAAATTTTGATATTTATAAAAATTTGAATCAACAATATTAATATAGACAATATATATATATATATATATATATATATATATATATATATATATATATATATATATATATATATATATATATATATATATATATATATATATATATATATATATATATATATATATATATATATATATATATATATATATATATATATATATTAAAAATTGAACGAAGAGTGAATTTAAAAAGAAACTTTGTTATACTAAAAATCGTGATATTTTTTATTGATATTTAAATGAGTTGAATTTATAAAATCCGCGGAATCCATAAATATTTCACTTCTCAATAAATATTTTAATTTTTTTTATAAATTATTCACCAATTTTTTTATATCCAATGTTCACCGACTCTTAATATTCTAGATAACGATATAGATGATATCATTCATAACCAAAAAAAAAATTATATTAAATATTCAACAACTCTTAATATTTTAGATGACGAAATAAATAATATTCATTCATAACAAAATTATTTAATTCATAGTATAATTCTTAGTTTTCAATTACTATTTTTTTTCACAAAATAAATTTCTAAAAATAACACTGTCAATAATAGTATTTAAAGAAATATTAATTAAGTTTAACAAACATGAAGTTAATACGTTTAATAAAGACACAAATAAAAAATTGAATATTATTTTAAACAATTTCCATAAACAAAAATTGAATATTACTATTGTTAACGGTAAACCAACCATAAAAAGTAAAAAACGCTATTAAGGGAATAATCACTGTATAATAAAAAATAAAATAAAACAGAACAGCTTCCATGGTCATAGGTTCTTGTTTAAGTAAGAACACGAACATGAACATGGTTTGACAAGGTCGAGGTCCGGGGAGGATGCACTCCACTGAAACCTTGAACAGTACGAGGAAGTAAAATCTGCAACCCAATGGGTCCCACTTTTCATTTCTATATCTGTTTTCTTTTTTTAATCTTTCCCATTGTCTTATTCGGTTCTTCCCCTCTCTCTCTCTAATATGGTATATAGAGAGAGAAGCTGGTAATCAAAAAGTTGAAAACTTTAATTCGAACCCAAGAATAATTCAAGGTTTTCTTAACTGGGTCTGTGAAGGATTCGACACTAGCTTTTTCTGCGATCTGCTTCATCGGTTTTTTTTTTATTTGGGTCATTTCCTAATCAGGTTCTGTTTTTCTTTGATCATTTGAAAATTTTCATTGACTTTAGTGGCTTTAGTGTAATGAAATTGAAAGCTCTTATTCTATTGTTATTGCTTTTCAATCTTACTTTTTATGCTTCTGCTACTGATTCTGAGTATGATCACTGTAACTGTGATGATGAAGAAGCGCTTTTCAGTATCCACGCAATACTTGTTGGTCAAAAAGTCAGTGATTTTTTAATTGCAATTGCTTATTTTTCAATCCCAATTGAAATTTTTTACTTTGTTAGTCAATCAAATGTTCCTTTCAAGCTACTGTTTCTTCAATTCATAGCCTTTATAGTTCTATGTGGTATAACTCATTTGCTCAATGCTTTTTCTTATCATGGTCCTCCTTCTTTTCGTTTGTTGCTTTCCTTTACTGTTGCTAAATTTCTCACTGCTCTTGTGTCGTGTGCAACGGCGTTGACGCTTCCGCCTTTAATCCCTCTCCTTCTTAAGGTTAAGATTAGGGAGCTTTTTCTGAGGCAGAATGTGATGGAGTTGGGACAAGAGGTTGGGATTATGAAGAAACAAAAGGAAGCTAGTTTGCATGTTAGGATGCTTACTAGGGAGATTAGGAAGTCTCTTGATAAACATACTATTTTGTATACTACTCTTGTTGAGCTTTCGAAGGCTTTCGATTTGCATAATTGTGCTGTTTGGATGCCGAATAATGATAGACGAGAGATGTATTTGACTCATGAGTTGAAATCGGATTCTGGTAAGAGTTTTCATCATAATTCTATTCCTGCAAATGACCCTGATGTGTTGGAGATAAGGAAAGCTAAAGGGGTTAGGATTTTGAGGCCGGAATCTAAGCTAGGAGCTGCGAGTAGTGGCGGTGGTGGTATTGAGGAGTTGGGTGCTGTCGCGGCTGTTCGTATGCCGATGCTTAATGTCTCAAATTTCAAAGGTGGGACGCCGGAGTTGGTTGATACGTGTTATGCGATACTGGTTTTGGTTCTTCCGAGTTCGAACGGTAGGGTTTGGACGGGTCCGGAGATGGATATAGTTGAGGTAGTTGCTGATCAGGTGGCTGTAGCACTTTCTCATGCGTCGGTTCTCGAAGAGTCTCACTTAATGAGACAGAAACTTGAAGAGCAAAACCGAGCATTGCAACAGTCTCAAAAGAATGCTATGATGGCTAGCCAGGCTAGGAAGTCATTCCAGACAGTGATGAGCCATGGAATGAGGAGGCCCATGCATTCGGTTGTTGGGATGCTTTCGTTGTTTCAAGAAGGTAATATGAAGCCTGAACAGAAGATTATCGGTGACACAATGTTGAAAGTCGGCAATGTACTCTCGAGTTTAGTAAACGATGTAATGGATATTTCTGAAAATAAAAAGGGTGGCATCCAGTTAGAGATGAAACCTTTCCTTCTACATTCGATGTTAAGGGAAGCTGCTTGCATTGCCAAGTGCTTGTGTGTGTATCAAGGCTTTGGTTTTCTAATTGAAGTCCAAAAGTCTTTGCCTGAGAAAATTTTAGGCGATGAAGCAAGGACTTTTCAAGTGATCATGCATATTATTGGATATTTATTGAACACGTGTGACCGAGGGAATCTTTTTTTTCGGGTTTACCTTGAAAGTGACGGTGGCGATAAGGATGACAAAAAATTTGGTGTCTGGAGATCAGGCAGCCCAGTTGAGTACGTACATATAAAATTTGATTTTCAGATTAATGGTAGTTCTCAGTCTAGTGGATCGATTTCGACAAAACAACAAGTTGGTAGGAGGCTGAATCACAACGGAGAATCTAAGGAGAGTCTAAGCTTCAACATGTGCAGGAAGTTGGTACAGGTAGGTGCATCATAGTCTGTATTATATTTTATGTTATGTTTGTGTTTCAAAAATATGTGATTTTTTGCTTAAAAGACGGGGTTTGATTTTGCGAGTTTAATGTTGACTTGCATTTTCATTTGGAATCAAAATGCATGTTAGGATATCAAAATATGTGAGATCCGTTAATTCACAGGTTAGTTTGGTTAAAAAGTTTAGAATAACAATTAACGGTATGTGAGGGTTGGACCAATAAGAGATCTGTTGTAGACAATCTTAGTACCTTGCATTTGCAAGAAATGGATTTTGTGACTCGAATCTATGACCTTCTAGTGTTACAGAGAAGCTATTTTTCCCCGTATCAGAATCGGATTCTGACTATAGAGACATCATTAGAGAAACATGAAGATTGTAATAAAACAAAGAAATTGCAATGTTTGTGGCGTCTTTACTTTAGTTGTAATATCAACCAGTTAGTTTTAGAATTCCAATTTGAACAAAACTACAAAATTTCTCATTTCCTTTTCCTCAATGAACAAATAAGAAGGCCTGTGCTTTTTGGGATTAGTGGGTGTATTATTATATTGTTAACAAAATAGTAAAAAGTAGCTTCTTTTGTGCCTCAAAATCTGATAAAGTAGGATCTTGCTTCTTTATACTCATAATACTATACAATTATTTTATCAAAGTATTATGATTTTTCTTCTTGGGACCTTATGTAACTATAATGCTTATTTTTATAATTCTGACTTTATTTATGTTTTGGAATATTATGCAGATAATGCAAGGAAATATATTGATATTACCCGACTCACAGGGTTTGGCGCAAGGCGTGTCACTTGTTCTAAAGTTTCAGACAGGACCATCACTCGAAAGATATGTGATTGCACCTAAAGATTATTCAAATTCACAGTTTGGAGGCCTCAAGATTTTGTTGGCAGATGAAGATGGTTTAAACAGGATCGTGACGAAGAAGCTACTCGAGAAGCTCGGTTGTCAAGTAACTGCAGTTTCGTCAGGATTTGAGTGCGTGAGTGTTATAACTGGCTCTGGTGGTAACGTATTCAAAATTATTATGTTGGATATTCACATGCCTGAAATGGACGGTTTTGAAGTCGCGACTAGGATCAGGAAGTTCAATGGCCCTAAATGGCCTTTGATCATAGCTCTAATAGCAAATGCGGAAGAGCAAATGAAGGATAGATGCATGCTGGCTGGAATGAATGGAGTGATTCGGAAACCAATTCTACTTCACCAGATAGCAGACGAACTTAGAACGGTCCTGCATCGTGCAGGTGAAAAGCTTTGAATACAGTTTCTGAATGTCTCAAATTTCTCGAGTTCCTTAAAGTGATATAGAGAACTGATTTTTTAACAGTACCAATTGCTTAAAAATAGTCAGTTTGTTTTTGTAGTTTTGCTTAAAAATAGTCAGTTTGTGATTGAGTCTTTTGACAGTGCAGATTTTGACTCGTGATTGTGTTGCGGCCATGAATGTGGTTGCTGCATTGCGGTTGTGACGCAGATGCAGTTTAATCGTGTTTGGTGTCTGCAGTCACAATCCAATGTGATTGTAACCACAACCGATATTATATTATCGCAATTGCAATCAAAATGTTACTGCTGTTGTGGCGCGGTTCACAATTTTGAACAATAATACAATGCTTTATTTTTTATGGAAATAATACCGTGCTAATAGATTAACAAGTTTCTTCAAAGTTCATAACAAACACTTTAAAAAGCTCGACAAATTTCTTAACAACAGTGCTTTATCAGAATGAAACTAAGACAATCCTTCACTATGACCAAATTTCTAAATCTAAATCTGTTCTAAGCTTAAGCATAGTGATTGTAATCAATCAACAACCTTTAAAATCAAACATAAATTACTAAATATTAAATAACTTATAAAAGAACTCTAACTCGTGATCCCATCTACAAGCTTCACACGATTCAATGTCATCATCTTCATCGTTTAATAATAACCATTTATTTTTCTTCACTCTCCATCCCTTGCAAGTGTCCTTTGAGTCGCATAAAGGAGTTTCATTGCGTGTCAATAAGTCATTATTTTTCCATAAAGAACCCGTTAAATATTCAACCTTCTTTCTTGTAATCATAATACATTTCAACCTCCTCAAAGAGCGCATATGCTTAAGTCCTTCTTTTCTTGATTCATAGTTTTTGGAACACAACAAGATCATACCGTAGATGTATATGGCTTCTTTATGACCCTTTTGAGCAGCCGTTTTTAGTCTCTCAAAACCACTGATATTTCCATTCGGATAACTAAAATATTTGATAAATCCTTCTCTAAACAAACTTTCAATATTTCCGCTTTCCATGCAACGTGTTAAAAAAGATAATTCTTTCTTGTTAGGAAACCATTGAATAAGTGGAAACTGATTTATAGAAACTTTTTGTAACACGTATTTTTCTTCTTCTTCCGCAATTTCAAGAAAATCTCGACAACACAATTTCATGTTGTAAAAATCAACAAAAGATTGAGAGGTTACACTTATAAGCATTTCAAGTAATAAATCTCTTGGAAGTGATTGTATGGAAGATGAAGAAGGTGGTGCATGTTGTTTCTTGTTGCTTTTTTTCTTGAATAACATACTTGGTGCCATTTGAATTTTCAAGAATACTGAATTCTTGTACTCAAATACTTGAAAATTTCTAACCCGTGTTTGCTACTAGCTTTTTTCTTTCTCTAAACAATTGATCAAAAGAGATTCAACCGGGTGCTTTTTATACACAAATTTAAACTAACTTTTTTGTTTGCACCTTATCTTAGATATGCCCATATAGATTTATTTAAATTCCAATAAATTAGATTTGATTTGATCCATATAATAAGCTCATATAGATTTATTTAAATTCCAATAAATTTGATTTGATTTGATCCATATAATAAACTCATATAGATTTATTTAAATTCCAATAAAATTGATTTGATTTGATCCATATAATAAGCTCATATAGATTTATTTAAATTCCAATAAAATTGATTTGATTTGATCCATATAATAAGCTCATATAGATTTATTTAAATTCCAATAAAATTGATTTGATTTGATCCATATAATAAGCTCATATAGATTTATTTAAATTCCAATAAATTTGATTTGATTTGATCCATATAATAAGCTCATATAGATTTATTTAAATTCTAATAAATTTGATTTGATTTGATCCATATAATAAGCCCATATAGATTTATTTAAATTCCAATAAATTTGATTTGATTTGATCCATATAATAAGCCCATATAGATTTATTTAAATTCCAACAAATTTGATTTGATTTGATCCATATAAATTTTAATCAGTAACAGATAAGTACTATGTTAGTATTTGTACTCTTCAAAAAGAATAATAGAGAAAAAAAACTCAGTTATTTAATGATAAAATTATCTTTAAATTATAAGAATTAACATTTAAATCAAAGGTAACCTACCTACACGTACTTTAAAAGATAAAATAATTTAATTAATGATTGATTTAGATGATAAATTTTTCAATTTAAAATACTTTTTATATTTCACATATTTTTAGGATAAAATTAATCTTTAAATACTATATTTCATTAAGGGATGTTTAAGATAAATTAATTTATAATCATTAATTTATTTTGATTTCCATAAAACTTCATGTTAATATCTTATAAATTAAAGATCTATCAAAAAAATCTTATAATTTAAAATATCTTTCGTCATTAAATAACTGATTTTTTCTCTCTCTCTAGTATTCTTTTTAAAGAGTACTACATACTAACAACACACATTTGTTAACATACTACGACATGTTATTGGTTAAAATCTATTAAAAAAATTAACTTATTTTTATAAATTAAAATATTAATTTTATAATATAAATATACATTGTTAAAAATTAATATATCGTTGAAATCAAATATTTTTCAAAATATATATTAAACAATAACTTTTATGAAAAATTATTTAAAATAATTTTAAATTTATGTGATATTTTGAAATTTCATATTAAAAAATAATAGTAATATGATGAAAAACCTAAAATAAATTTTAACAAAAGCTATTTAAATTAATTTTTTATTTGAATTTTTTTAGAAATTTGTAAATTCTTCTAAATAAAAACATATAATATTATAAAAGATACTTTAAATTATAAGTTTTTTTTTTGACGGATTTTTACTTTATAAGATATTAACATGATGTTTTATGGAAATCAAAGTTAATTAATGATTGATTTGATAATAAACTCTTCAAATTAAAACACCCTTTATATTACACGGAAAAAAAAATCAATTTACTGTTCTAATTTTAAAGATTAGGTTTCACTTTGGTTTCGTTTCTTTGCGCTTTTTTTTAAAATAATTTTAAGGTGTTATACAATTTTGTTTTAAAAAATTATATTTTTTTATAAGCAAAATTTAAATGAAAAATTAATTTAAATAAATTTTTTTAAATGGTACTTTAAGTATTTTATTATTTTATTATATTTCTTTTAAATATCAAAAATTTAAAAAACCATTTAAATTTAAAGTTATTTTAATAATTTTTTATAAAAAGTTATTTTTGAAATGAGTAATGTTATATGGTAAGAATAATTTAAATAAGAAAGATAAGAATGTTGTCATTGTTTTAGAGGATAATTTTAAACATAAATTACTAAATATTAGATAACTTATAAAAGAACTCTAACTCTGTGATTTCATCTACAAGTTTCACACGATTCAGTGTCATTATTTTCATCGTCTAATAATAACCATTTATCTTTCTTCACTCTCCATTCCTTACAAGTCTCCGTTGAGTCGCATAAAAGAGTTTCATTGCGTGCCAATAAGTCATTATTTTTCCATAAAAAACTCGTTAAATATTCAACCTTCTTTCTTTCTTATATATATATTTCTATTCATGTCATTCATATAGTATTGTATTCATTTTGTAATTTCCAATATTTAAAATAATGAAAATTATTTTATGCTCCTGTTTGTATAAATTTTGAAAATATATTGTCGATTCTCTCTCGTAAATGCATCTCTGAGATTAACTAAAGTTTAACGAAAAAAATATACATTTCATAAATACACTTTTGAGAATGCAGGAACGAAATTTAATTTTCATAGATTCTTTTCAATAACATAAGGTGAAATAAAAAATAATAATAATTATTTTAAAATACATTTTAACCTTATTTTAAAATTTGTTTTAGGCTTACAAACGGGTTTAACCTGCTCTGGCGAAAACTAACCGAGATGATGGAGTGGTTTATTTTTGGCATAGCTTATGGTTTGGTAATCAATAGATAAAGCAAACATTTCCTGAATTGTATGATTTAGCAATCAATAAGTTTGGTAATATTTCTCATATGGGCTGTTACATAGTTTCGTTTGGAAGGAAGTGGTCTCGGGTCAATTTACTGTTAAATCTTGTTACAGCTTATTGGAGAATAGTTTTAGAGAGATAAAGGAACCATGCTAACTAGGGTGGATGTGTTTGTCTCAACTACAAACATTTTGTCTTCATTCATGCTGAATAAGGTGGATGTTTGGACACTATGTAATTTATTTTAAGACATCGATCGCTTCTTCCTTAGCTATTGTTAAGACTATTGATAAATGAGATTGATTTACTGTAATTCAGTGGATAAAATGAGCTTTATTAATATTGCTATTTTTAGTCAGTCAGTTACTTTTTTTCTGATTGGTTGTTAAGTGATAACAACACACTATATATGGATAAGGCTATCACACGTGTAATATAACAAACTATTACTTTTGCTCATTATCTTCTTCTTTCTTCATTTTTGTTTCTTGTTATTTTCTTCTTCAATGGTGAAATAACTTCACCACAATATGGTATCATTCGCCAATTCGATCTTTATTATGTTGTTTTTCAATTGAAGCTTTATCTCGTGCGTCCGTCCCTTTGCATCCATGGCTCCCCCCTCGAGCTTCACCTCTTGATCCAGCTTTGGATCAAACTTCACCATTCTTCGTTCATCCCAGTGATGGCCCTGGTTCGGTTACAGTTCTTCCTAAGATTACTGGTTCTAACTATCATTCATGGGCTCGAAGCATGAAGAGGGCACTTGGTGGAAAAATGAAGATTGAGTTCATTGATGGATCTCTTCCTGCTCCCGTTGATTCTTTCGATCCATCCTTGCGTGCTTGGAATTGCTGCAACATGTTAGTACACTCTTGGATCATGAATTCAGTTTCAGGTTCCACTTCACAGTCCATCGTCTTCTTGGAGAATGCGCTTGATGTATGGAATGACTTGAAAGAACGGTTCTCTCAGGGCGATCTCATTCGTATTTCTGAGCT